TGTGTGCTGGAACTTGGTTAATTGTTTTAGTGTTCATACTGAACATTTTGGAATGGATCAGGAAGTATATTCTTTGATGGACTGTCAGAGAATGGCAGGTCAATGTCGCTTAATGCATGTACTGTATGTGGTTATGTTGGTATTACCCCTAAAACTGTAATGGAAAAAAGAATACATTAAAAAAGTTGTTGGGTCAAAGAAGTATTGGGTAAGGGCAACAGCTTTACTGACTACTGACTGGATAGTTCACTGTAAAGTTACAGTCAGTGAGTAAACAGATACCTCCAGCACAGGAGAGGTTTCTCACTTTCTGATGTTTTTTGGTGGATATACAGAGGACATAGATTCTCAATTCCACTGTGTTTATTAGGCAGATGCATTGGTTTGGTTGACTGTTGGAAAGAAAATGGCCTGCACACACTACACATCATCATTGATGGTTGATATAACATATATTATATATATGTAACTGAGCCCAAGATAATAAAGATGATAACAGTTTTAAAGTACTGTTTGCTGTGATATAAAGTGATGTTTGCCAAAGTAAACATATGACTAGTGACTCGACTGGCCCAGGTATTTACAGTGAACATGTATGCATACACATGTGGTCCTGTCAAGAGACCCAACTTGACAACATGTTTGTATTAGGATGTGCTGTTAGTGTGTGTGAAGTGACAACAGTTAAACCTGTACGCCCAAACATTGTTGTGTCAGAGGGTTTCACCGTGCAGTGCAGTGATGAGAGATATTGTAGATGACACAGGAGAAAAAGGAAGACAGAAGGGGAGAGCATGACTCAAGATCCCCACAGTGCTTCTTTCCTTTATTTTGTCTTATTTTTTTTGCATTTTATGTTTTAACAAACCAATCCCAACACATTTTATGATCAGAGCTGCGAATGAGTCAGCGACAGAGTTCAAACAAAGATGTTATTCATCAGAAATAGTGCTCGGAACCACTTTAATTACTCCCTCGTCCCTCTGTCCAGTTGTAAATAGCTGCAGCCCATTGTGTCACTGCGGCTTTGTCAAATCACCCGTGACTAAGGAGCCTGTTACAGTATCTGTTTACACACACACACACACACACTCACACTCACAAACCACTTCCATTGGTTCTGTGCGTCTAGAGTGACACTGACAGCTGGTGAGGATCATGTGAGAAATGTGACCACTGTGCATTGTGCTTGCTGGCTCTCGTGATGTGGTCTGTGTGTCTTTGTGTGAATATGGCAGTGTGTTGGCGGAGGCTGCAACAGACACCGCGGCAGATTTTTTTTTTTTTTTTCGGGAAAAAAGGGTGCACGTGTGGAATTGGAGCCAGAGATTTGAAGACACAGAGAGTCCGGGACCTTGAGGGAAAAGTATCTTGCTGTGTTAGGCAGTCTGTAGCCCTGCTGTAGTGTTAGATGATTTTTAAGTAGGATTATTCTGCTCTGTTGTACCGCTGTGAGCCGAGAGAGAGACATTATCCACCACAGGCCTACTCATACACACACACTTAATCACAAATGCCAATGCTCATACTCCTTCTTTCTCACACACATGTGCACTAACTCAGCATGCCAGCTAGCAGGTGGCGAACTATCATTGAAAACCACATCCCTCATCTTTTCCTGCCCCCTTTCTCCCGCTCCTTCGTCTCCTCATTTCTTCTCAGTTTTGCACTTCGCTCCACTTTTCTCCCCTTCCCTCCCACTGTGCTGACATGCACCTACTGGCACTTGGATTTTCACTTATCCTCCCAACTAGTAATAGATTTTCGACTGTACTATTCAATCTCTCTTCTGACACCCCGTTGTTAGAAGGCACCTGCAGAGAGGCAGATAAATAGATGGAGAAGAAGGCAGTATCCTTGGCCTGTCAGCACACAGAAGGATAGTGCTTTTGTCGCTCAACTTCTTTCTCTGTGCTCTTATTCTGCCTCCTCTTTTGTCTCAGGTTTCGTTCTTTAGTAATTCAGGTATTTTTCTTCCTCAAATAGGCAGGGAGGCAGGGAGTCTTTCTCATTCAGTTCAAGTTATGAATGATGGAAAACATTATCGCTTTCTGTTCTCTCATCTTTTAATGAATTAGTTAATTATCAAAACCAGCTAACCCAACTTGAACCATGACAGATATAGCTGTATTTGTAATGATTACAGTTTTACAGCTAAAAGGCCTAAGGGTCAAGTAACATATGCACTATGACAGGACATCATGCAGACATCAAACACAGCAACAACACAGTGTATCAGTTTCTCCATTATGCAGCCCAACAATGCTCCTATCATTAAACAAATGTGGACAACGTCAGCTAGACCTTCTGTAACTCATCCTCCCTCCAACTACTGTCAGAAGTTACTGTTAGTGACTAACAGTATGGATGTGTCACGAGGCGTTGACGGTCATAGTATCCATCTCCCGTTGTGTGCGCTAACAGAGGATCTCATTCAGCCACAACAGTGAGGAGAAGAGTGGGAGGCAAGGTAGCATTCACAGCCATCAGAGAGGTCGGGGGGAGAGGGAGTAATGTGGAGGAAAGAGAGGCAGAGGACAGAGACTATGCAGCTGCTTGTACACACCGCCATGCGCATGCAACACGTGTAGGCGTTACTGTTACTGACAAATTCATGATGCTAATTGAGACAGGTGTTCACACTCTTTGTATCGATCATTTTTTACTCTTAGTTCAGAGGTCCAGAGCTCTGTAGTCATGATGGAAGTTATGTGTACCTGAGACATTTTATCTATATAGAAACTTTCAAGTTTTAACAGGTCAGATAGCAAACTAATGGATAACATTCACTGGCAGGTATTGATAACGGTAAATAGAGTCCCCTTTCCTTCTTTTTTTTTGACATGGGCCTTGTAAAAAAAATACATTTTTGGTTCTAAACAAGTTTATACCAAAAATGTTTTACTAACCCAGTAGATCAGCGTGCAGCCACGGTATTTTTAACCTAATGCCCATCTTGGTAACAGTCAACTAAGTGTTGATGAAGATGCTTGAGTAGATGGTGTAGGATAGAAGAAGGGGAGAGAGAGTAAGAGGAATCATTCTACTTAGATACTAAAGCACTCGCTCTTCCAGTTATCCCTGCTGAACGTAGTTAAGGGTTATTCTAAAAAGCCACTGATCAATTCCTCAATACTGCCGTGCATAATCTATCTTTGGTGGTGTGATAAGGAATTTTACCTACTGTCAGGCAGGAGAAGACGTGAATGCACTGCTACAAGGTCATCCAGATCAGTTTCTTCTTCAACCAGAGATGTTGACAAGTGTTGTTTTTATTAACTGATATGTTTAAAGCAGCCAGATGGTGTGCCGGATTATTTATCTAGCAGACAGCAATCAGTCTAAAGTCTCCACTCTCAGACATGATTATAAAACTACATGAATGTGTTATCAAACAGAGTTATGATCGATGATGGGGACAGTTAATATAGAAGTATGTTAACACTAGAGAGAACTGGAAAATGGCCAGTGAATTTTTAACGTTTCTATCATCAACGCTGCTTTTAACAGGCAGCATCACATGCTCATCCCTACTTTTAATGTGTTTAATTGTTGTTGCCATGTCAGACAAACAAACCATAAGATTTAATGATGCTAAGGTATGGACATAGTTGTGTTTTTGTAACTCGAGTTGTTGGCTGTGCTAACATTGTAAGCTAAGTCTTATGTCGTTTCTCTCCAAGCTTCTCTACCTACATAACGACATTACAATGCAGCTTCATCAACATGGGCTTGATTCAATAGACAGCACTCTGTAATAATTGGATCACAACAAAACTGCATTAAGTGCTTTGCACAGAGATAATGGCATCTTAATTGAAATGCATTCATTTGCATAAGCAAATGGGTGCTTTTATGAATGCTTTCTTCTTCAAAATATCAAAATAATCAGCTCTTTTAAAATTTGATTATTATTGTACCTATTATTTGCAAGTCAATCTGGGCAAGGGAAGAGCAGAGTAGAGACAGGAAGGCGGAGTTCATAGAATCCTGGGATTCCCTCATGCTCTCCAAATTGTGAGCACCACCCAAGTATCAATGGATCCTAATATCTAGCAGCATCAATAGATGAAGTTGAAAATGTTAGTAATGATCAGCAGAAATGACCCATGACAGGTACTTATGAACCCCCTCACATCAATGGCCTTTTGATGAAGATCCTACACAAGAGTCATTTATGTGGCAAACTAAACCCCGGATATTTCTTTAAAAAATAAGAATACGATCAGAATCGGTTCTCCTTCCTTATGCCCTTCTGGAAATTGATCTTTTTTTTCTCCCGCTTCATTCCTTTCTGCATTGCTCTCTCCCATCTTTCACTGTCAAATCCCTCCAGTGCTGGATGCCTTCTTAATAGTCCAACACATTAAGACTGAACAGAACTCTGTGATTACAGACATTTGAAGTGTTGGATCACTGACCACTGTGCCGTCAAGCTTGGCTGTTTGATTTGTGACTGTGGCCAGTTGATTTAATCTTAAAATGATCCCCTAATTATGAAATATGGACATGACGTACGCTCTGAGATGAAACCATCTGTGTCCCCAAGCAGGGATATTCACAAATGATCACCAGAGATATTAAAATTCACATAATAAAACTATATAGTCCACACTTGACTCCTACAGGGAGATAGAGGGAGGATCTAATCAGTCTTTCCAAGTACTTTACGCTCCCTAAGTGGATCTATATTCCTTTACATAGCTGTCTTTCTGAATCAGCAAAAGATGTCAAGTCACAATCTGCAGTAAGTGCACAATGCCACAATTATAAATGATTTTTAAACATATTTAGGCTCATATCAGTAAACAATCAAAGACTGTTTGAATCCCAAAGACTGTGGTAGATTCAGGAACACTTATTTATTTACAGAGGTGAGCAGTCAGCAGGCTTCACCTCAAAAAGTTAGATTTGGATTGTTATTCAAGTGTTCACATGCGACACCAAAACATGATACCTCTGTCTGATGTTGTTGTCGTTCTGTGTGTTTCCACCGACAGGAGCAGATGGCCAATGGCGTCCATGGTTCTGCCTCTTTGCCTTCTTCGTCCGTCTTGCTGATCGGCTCATACAGTCTGGACAGGGAAGTCCTGAAGAAACTTGGAATCGGACTGGCTCTGGCTGCAGCTATCTTGGCCTTCATTGTAGAGAAACTGTACTGACTCTGTAAATCTGAAAGGAGGAAAGAGAAGAGGACAATGATATCTCGCACAGTGTGTCAGAAGGTGGTGAATCCAGTAATCAAACAGCCTTGTTTGATCCCCTGTAAACTACTCTACGTACTCTTCAGTTTAAAATAAAACCCAAAGAAAAAAGAAAGATGAGGCTAGTGTAACTTGAAGTCAAGGATTATTCATATTTTCTTAAGAATTTTTTAGTTTTTCTCAAAAGACAAGTCAGAAATTGCCATGTTTTGCTTTGTCTCTTGTTCACTGATGGCTGCAGCCTGACATCGTTAACAAACTAGTTGACAAGTGTTTGGATCATTTTTTGGGGGGGAGGATCTCTGGAGCCGTTTTTAATATAAAATAAGAACAACACAACCAGCTGAACACTTTTTGTTCATCTGTACCTAAACACAATCTGAGAATTAAACGGTCAGTCATCTGTCATCTGTCCATGACTCTGCGATACTGAGCATCTAGATTTCTCAATGTTCTCTGTTATACAGGTTCACCCTCTTTTTTGGATGGATTGACTTGTGTCTTACGTTACAGTATCTGATATTTTATTCTGTGGAAGGGAGAAATAATGTGTATAATACTCTGATTAAAGGGGATCTGTGACTTTCATTTGAATATATTTATTTTTCAACAGGAGACAAGAAGAATCTATTGTCACATCTTCAGTACATGTGTGTTTTTTAGTGGTTTGCATGTGCTTTTATGGTTCATTTTATGGTTTTTGGCTCCTACATGAAAGTGAAGTGGAATATATTTTTATGTTGATTTACTCTTCTTAATAGTTTAAACATCCTTCCCCATTGGACAGGTGGACCGTAATGACTTCTGATGGTGTGTCATTATAAACCCATCAGTCCACAAGAAATACCACACAACCCATAAGATAACCTTCAATTTAAGTTGTGTTTAAGGCTTGTTCCATGATTTCTTCCTCTTCTGTGGCCGTGTGTAGCTGATGTCTATGTCTGTAACCACCCAAATTCAATAATGGTGAGTGCATTTTGCTGTGTAGCTCGAAACATAAAAAAAAGCTTTGTTTTCCTGTTATGGTGGAGAACAAGTATTATAAGTAGTAGTACAGTACAAGGTTCAATAGTACAAATAAGTCAAATTACAAATAATAAACATTTGTGGGGGGAGAAAAATGACAGAATATCCAAACGATCCTGAAGTTTGTTTCTGTAAATCAGGTGATTTTTAACCTTTATGACAACAACTCAGTTGAAATGTGGACCTAAATCTGAAGCTTTATCGAGACATCACATAATGTTTTTGTTTTTCTTTACATGCATTGTTTTAACCATCCAAGACAATTATTAAAGATCAAATCAGCTGGTCACAAGTGAAAATGCTTACGTCTCATTTATTCATTAAGTTCAGTTATTTACTTCTTAAGTTTACATTTTTCTAAAACTCCAAGAGGATTAACGGGGGAGAATCCCTTACCTCTGCACAATGTTCATTATTGCTCCGATGTTGTCATGCACAGAGTCTTCCTGGGATTCTCACAAATCTCTTTCTGCTTTGAGGTACAACACTCCCAACATGTGCTCTGAAAACTCCAACAGTTAATAATGCAAGCCCCAATTTATGTGTCGCATGGCACATGTGTCTCTGTCAGTATGTCTGCATTTTTTATATATGTGTGTGTGTGTGTGTGTGTGTGTGAGCATAAACATGCCCTGTATATATTCCCAGACACAAGTGTCTCTCAGCTTGTTCGTGAGCGTTTCTGTGTCAGAAAGGATGGTTTGTGTGTCTGTACATGCCTGCGCTGTCTGATGTCGTGTCTGTAGTTTCTTCCAATGCTTAATTTAGCAGAAAGCCAGCATGTGCATCTGTGTGTGTGTGTGTGTGTGTGTGTGTGTGTGTGTGTGTGCAGGCTGCAGGAGTGACAGCACTCGTCACTCTCATTCAGAAAGCTTTTATTAGATACACAACTGTTTGTAGCCTACACACACAGATGACCTGTATTATCTTAGTATATGATGCGTGTCACACATGCTGTTGACTCGCAGATACATGTGTGTACTGGTGCTTTATTTTTACCTAGCTGCTGCATGTGTCAAACACACATTGCAATTTTGTAGTATACAGTTAAATGATGCATGGCAAGCAAAGTTGCACACAAACACAGCCGCCAAAGCTATATATTACCCGATCAAATGATGCGTGTCTTCCACACAGACACACACACTAGCTTTGTATTATGTGATCAAATGATGCGTGTAGCGATGAAGCTTGTTACATCCATCCTGCAGTGCCCTATATTATTCTGCAGCCTTCCATACTGTGTGACAGTTCTTTTGATGCTTTGTAAGCACATTTCCTCACTGTGTATGTCAGTTACACTGCATTGTTCTCCCATGAAATATGGATGCAACGACACCCTTTATGTTTGGGGAATCATCACTTACTATGAAATATTGAGGCAGGAGCCATAGAGAGGAGATCATTATTCACTTTGCATCATTCACTTCAGTTGTTTCTAATAAAAGCGAGACTTTCTGAATTCTTGTCTTAGCTGCAGCTGTTGTCAATAGATCCTGTGCACAGCGACTTCCTTTGGAACTGAAACAGAGCAACTTTAGACAAACGACAATGCAAAGGAGGTTCAACATTAATAGGCTCTCCCGTGTCAACTTTCATCTGTCATGTCATTTCAATGATTTAATTCCTATTGTATGGTATTGTATCATATAGCGTCCTGATTTTGTTTTACATCTGATCTTGCATGTATTAATCATCATTCGGTGTGTAGAACTCTATGAAAACTCAACTTATAGTGAGCAAAAAGTGCATTGTTTAACAAAGACGGCAAATTCATTCCCCAGGAATTTCTAGTTTCTAATGTGGAACGGAGTCATATACACAATTCAGACTGTGTGCTGTGTATCAAGCCTATACACTCCAGATTGTTACACTTGCCAGTGAAATGTGTCCACCTGTAATGTAGATACTTTTTTGTATTTATTTGTGCCAATATTATGCAACACAGAGTTAGGCCTATAAAACACTATATTGTTCTATTCATCTTGTACAAGTTTGCATTTTTCACTTGTGTAGCACTCTGCCTGTCTCTATTAAGAACAGCACTCCTCCACTCAGCTGGAGCTCGCAGGACAGCAGGCGGCCATAATGCCTGGCTTTACTTATATAGTGGCCATTATTCATAATGAATATGTGGCTGTGAGCCAGGAGTTATAAAATATGGATCAACTTTAACAGTGGCCAAAAATGGTGACATGAAAGAACAATAGTAGTACAGATATAGAGTGTGACGTAATAAAAGAGTAATGAAGGCTTACAGCCTTAAAGTACATTATTTCAAAGATGCACATAGCTGACACAAAAGAAAAACAGAATGCATTGTAGGAGCTTCCCATTAGCAACAATCTCAGACTGTGATCTTCTCAATAAGTTTAACAAAGTAAGTGCATAGTTTATTTCTGCACTTTGGACATCTGCTGAAGCTCCTGTTTGTGTTTTTGTCTGGATACCTTTTTATTAGAGGTCCCATTACATATTTCTGTCTATGAATACAAATAATTCTGTGTACAATGATTTGAACCACCTATGGTACTTCAAAGAATTTGACTTTTTTTTCTATAAAATGTAAAGATAGATAAATGAATATATACATTCCCCCATTTTCCACTCAATCCCCATGTTCAGGATCTTTTTCATTTTATTGTAGGGGCAACAAATGAAAGGGGAAACAATGAATTAGAGAATTGTTGACAGCTTGTTTTGTTTTCCCAGGCTTGTTTGTGATCCTCTTGTTGAGGTTTGTTATCTGGGTGAAACACTTTTTTGGGAGGGGGGTAAACAATCAGCAAAGTAGTGAGAGCAAAACCTGATATAATTACAATGTTGATGTTTGTCAGCTTGTGCCCAAATTTAGCTCAGTCAATTTACCATGCTGTCATTCAGCATGCTTCACTACTACAGCTAAAGGAGAATCAGCTTCTTGTGAGTGCAATAAGAAAATAATGTTAAAGGTGCAATTCATGTACTTACAAAGTCAAAGTATTCACATTGTATTTAATGAAGCACTTATCATTTTGTTGACTTTCATTCACAGTCAACTTTTCCCCTTGACTATGATATAACAGGATATTGAAAATATGTATGGGTACTCACTGTACTGCACTCTGGGTAATAGAGTACTGAGTACCCCCATAAAGAGGACAATATGTATTTTACACTTCATGCTGCCTTACCCTTAAGAGTGTTAAGGACTGTGGAACCAATACAAATAATTGCTGTAGCTTTTTGAAACTCATCCTTGCATCCTTTTTCATTTTTCTTTTCTTATATATTTTTTCTTTCATTCTTATTTCTACTTTTATAATGTTGAATAGGGTACACATGGTTTTATAAATTCCAGTATATTCATGCTGGCAGCAGGATATATTGTGATTATGAACAGGAATATTTGGACTAAAGTCTTAATCTAAAATTTGTGGAAAAACAGTCTTCTAATTCCCTGCAGCTAGGCTCAAGTACAAATGGGGGATGCAAATGCAAACCCACATGGCTGTGACCAATTAATTTTTGCAATTTGGGTGACCAACATGCTTTGTTGCTTTCCGTCTCCACCTCCCACCTTTTCATCTTTTTTTCCCTGTCTCACTCTGCCATTCCATTTCTATAGGCTGAGGTCTGCTCACTGTGTGCTAAGCACTTCAGTGCCTCCTGGAACAGAGGGGGAAATGACTTGGCAAGCATATCCATTCCTAATCGTGTGTGTGTGTGTGTGTGTGTGTGTGTGTGTGTGTGTGTGTGTGTGTGTGTGTGTGTGTGTGTAATCTGCATTTCAGCTTCGTCCAAGCATTTAGTTTGGTGGCCCTTGTGCCTGCATTCAGTGATTGCTGTGTTTTATCGACAAGCACACACACACACAGAGACACATACACACACACACACACACATACACACCCACACACAGAGACACATATACACACAGAGACACATATACACCCCGTTGTCGCTGCAAAGCAAACTGGGAATTAACAGGCTGCCGTGCGAGGGAGAGATTGGCTCTAGTGAGTGTCTTGGTGGCTTGCCAGTACTGTTTTAGTAGTGTGTGTGTGTGTGTTTGTGCTTCTGTGGTTTTGTGTGTATGTCTTGGAGTGTGTTTGATGGGCTTATACATCTTTGACTTTGAGCGGTTAAGGGTGTGTGTATTCACCAGTGGGACAGGGGACCAAAGTCACTGTTTTAGCTCCACATTGTTATTGAAAGCTTTTCAATAACCACTCAGAGGCTCGGTGGCACTGCTGTATTAGTAAGTGTTAAAAGTTGTTAATAGTTTGAAGACCATTTTAAACACATTATTATCTCTTGAACTTTTTTAAAAAGATTAAATGTCCCATGACACAACATTCGCTTTATTTCGCATGACAAAGATTTACATATATTTGTAGTCCGAGTCATATCATTTAAAGGCCTACAGGTGCACTATATTGTTATTTTCAAATGCTAAATATTGAGGATCACTCATCTTTGTTCCAAAATCTAACAAAAAAAGCTCTTCAACTGAACTAAAAATATGTTACAAGTTCATAGAGAAGCCGTCAGGATTGATAGCCACTTCCTGGAGAGTTTTTCACGACACTCTTGAAGGTCTCACAGCTTACCCTTATTAGAGAGCTGTTCGCTCAGGCGGCAGATACAGATGATGACAGCCATGCAAGTCATGTTAAACAAGGTTAAAAAAAAGCAACAGTGAGAGAAAACTGCAGTTATTATTACAATGAAGGGTCATCAAACAGCAGGAATGTGCACTGAAACTAGTACAACAAAGAATGGAGTCACCTCCAGGTCTCGCAGCTGTTTTTCTAATGATACTTATGTTTGATTGGAGCTCCTCAGATGGCAGCTATGAAACTTTTAATGATGTAGTCATGGAAATAAGTGTGCATTGCATTAGCCTCCTAAGGGCTGCTTTGTTGCCATGGTGAGTTGTCCACACAGGAAACTGTTCTCATTCTCATATACTACATTTGCAATGTTCAAGAGTAACCCTCTCAGATGTGTAATGGAGAGTTTTACTACCTCAGGCTGGGCCAGGCTCTTGTTTTTCAAGAGTACTCTAAAGAAATTAGGTTTTTTTTAAAACAGAAAGTATAAGTGACAAGTAAAAAGAAGTTAAGTGTTATATTTTATTTTCTGATATTTATTTTCTTGCATTAAGAGTTCTCCACTTCACACATTCAGGCACCTTCTCCATAGCTGCCCCCTCCCTCTGGAACTCACTCCCTACACACATTCAACACTGCAACGACCCTCCTACTTTCAAATCACTTATCAAAACTCACCTCTTTAAACAAGCTTTTAATGTATG